CGCCCGGGACCCTCAGGGGCGGCCTGGGCCTGCGCCGGGTGTGAGGAGCGCTGCGCCACTTTCCTCCGTCTCTTTCCCCAGGGAGGTCGACGTCCTCTGGACCTTGAAGTCGGGCGGGTCTGCGGAAAGCTCTGCCGACGAGCAGATTGCGTGCTCAAAATTTATCTTAGCGATAGGACATAACGCTGCAGGTGGGTGCTGCGGGCTGCAGAAGCAAACCGTCTGAGTCTCTGAAATGCTGTTGTCCCTTTGCTGTTGGCTACATTCGAAAAGGCTCCCTTTGCCGTAGTCTGTTTTAACGCTGGTCTCTGCTGTAAGAATGGTCCTTCAGGGTGTCCAGCTGTTCATTTAGGGACCAGGGCTTTAACCCTGAGACGGCTGAGCAGTCCAGAGAAAGCCAAAGTTAGCCTCTATGTGTAAAACATAGATTTTGTTACAGCTGTTTATTCCTCCTGTGAGATCGTGATAAAATCATATTTTTTCAGTGGAAAAGCAGAAGCTAAGTATGTTTTGATTTTGGATTTTAGTTGAGACAACCCTCTTTTTCCTTTATCTATCGTTTGGTAAAGTCTCTTGGATTGTCTGTTAACTAGTGAAAGTTTCTTTCTAATAGCAATAAGTTGTTCAGTGCAGCCTAGTGCTCTGGAATAGGGATCAGTCAGAGACAAAATTAGAGGTCAGTAAGCTGTAATTTATTTAATTTTTAATGATCAGGGATTTTTTTTTGTTTACTATTTTTTTCTTGATCAGTCAGTTCCTTTTTCACGTTTTAATTCCCCACTTCTTCAAAATGCCCTCTTTTGAGGTGGTTATTTACTCATTGGGCCTAGAGTCTTGAAGCACCCTCCCTTCCCACATACACTTACCAAGGTCTTCAGTTTTTTAATAGCTGTGTCCTTGTTGATATAAAGAAGTTTTAAGTCTCCCTTACATCTAGGTCACACCTAGATGACATTTAGATGATATGTAAGTTAACTCTGCTAACTTGTTTTTCCTTGAAAAATAGTTAAAGATATATCTGTCTTCTGTTTATCAGTAACTTTTGACAAGAATTTGATTTATGAACATTTGATTTAGGATCTCTTTTTGCCACGAAGTCATGCATCCTCTTGTCTCTGTCTAAATTAAGTTATTGTATTTTTTTCACTTGCAATTGCAAAGAAATAATGTAACTCAGTTCAAATATTTATTTGTAGAACAGAGATTTTATTCTTTATAAATTAACAATATTTGTTTTTTGCAGCTTTCCTGTCATCTTTTATTCTGGATTCTGTGTGTTGGGAAGTCGTTGGAGTTGTGAAGCTGTGGAATGAGTGGTGTCGAACGTCCGCCACAACAAATGTCCTCCCGACAGATTCCTTCTGTTTGTTCTACCGATTAATATCAGATCCAACCGTAAGTGAATTATGCATTAATTCCCCTATATTTTTGCTTTCTGAAGAAGAGAACAACCTTCATTAACCGCTTACCCTGCCCAGGGCAAACAAAGCCTTACGGCTGCAGTATTCTGGATTAATCTAATAAAAAAACTGAAGGCTCATTACGCTCACTCAGACTAGAAGTTCTGGCCTGTAAAGTTCAGTACAGAGATGTGTGACAGCCTGATCGCTTCACATCAGTTGTGAGTGGAAAATTCTTGTTGAAAGAGTGAAATAGAAGCCCAAGAAAACTGAATAAGTTGCTGGCTGCAGTCACATCATCTTTGCACGTGATTATGAGCTGCCGTTGTGCTCTTTAAACCACTTATGCAACTTTTTGTATTTTTTTTAAGGTTTTGCTGTGCCAGTGTAGTTGCTATGTTGCTGAGGATCAGCAGTTCCAGTGGCTTGAAAAGGTAAACCTGGCAAGACAAGAAATTGAGCAATGAAATCTTAGGGGTGGGGATCTTCAACTTACTGTAAGTGCCTCTTCCTCTCTGATATTCTAGACATGACAGCGCTGAAAATAACTGTTTTCTCTGTGACTTTCTTTTTTAAAATATTCAAGAAATGAGCAAATCTGCTATGCAGATTTTGTGAAATTCCTTTCTAGATGCTGCCAGTCGTATCCACTGTAACTTACAAATTTTGTGCAGTTACTTCTTTCGGACAGTTTCAATTTTGTTGCCCTTAACTACCTGTCGAAACTTTTTCCTTTTTGGCTTAATTTTTTCTGTGGCTTATTTCAGCTCTGGGAGAATCCTTCCTTAAAAAATAATAACGTGACTGCATTTGTACAGCTGCCAAAGGATCACCAGACAAACCTGTTGTGAAACTCATGGTGGATGGTACCTTTACTCATGGGTGTGTTCTACTCCTTTCGCAAGGAAAGGCTCTAAAGAAAGGTGCCTTATCTGTCCCATTTGTTTACAGGCTTAGTATGCTCCGTGCCTTACCCCAGCATCATTCAGGTACACAAATGCTGCAGGGTTACTCAGATCCCTCCAAATATCGTCATGGCGATTTTAATAAGATAAAGACAGGAGGGGAATGTTCTGGCTGTTGATTATGGATCTGGGGCACTGCTTAGCTTCAGGGAGGTACGGCTTATTTTGTCTGCTAACCTGCCTGCCTTAAATCTCTGCCAATGGGATGAACAAGCAGAGATGTTAAAGCTGTGGTGTTATGCTGCAGTTGTGCAAGGCTGTGGCTAGAGATACAGAGAGTGAGATAAAAGTGCTGTGTCCCCTGACAGTGAGCCCTCAGCCTGAGCTGAGCGATACCTGCTGAGTGCAGCCTGCCAGCTGGCCCAGCCTCTGCCTGAGAGGGGTTACTGGGTTGTGAGGGAGAACCATATGAGCAGCTTGGTGTGAGGGAGCCAGAGAGATTATGGGAAGGCAAAGAGGATGGAAAACCAGGGCAACCTCGCTGAATGATACAGGGATTTAACCGCCCAAGTTTGTGAACAGCGAGATTTTTGTGGTCTCTTGGCTTATTGAGGAGTTTAATGCACTTTGATGGGCATAATGGTTCGTTTTGAAGTCCAGAAACCTTAAGACTTTAAACATTTTGGTTTTGCTGTATTTCACGCATTCTTGCACATCACTTAAACTGAGATTACAAAAGAAAGATTACTGTGGTCTTGCTGTCTTCCCCGATTGCATTTTTCCAGCTGTTTGTGCATATGTGTTATTTCAAATGTGGGTGCTTATGCACAGTAGGAGTGCACGGTTTTACCACTCAATGTTCTTGAGTATTTTTAGACTTCATGGTTATTGATATTTTAAAATGTACACCAAAAATGTTGTGCTGGTAATCTTTTGCTTTTCGTGTGAGTTACAGACCTGTTCTGTATACTTCATAAATTCTGATTTGCTGAGCATCCTCACAGTCTGCATGAGTCAGATTTTGACTCTGTTTTCTCAGGAGGTGATCACTGACAAAACGAGAACATACAGACTGAAGTTTCGCAGTAGCGCATACCAGCCAGTGCTTCCAGCAAAGTAAATTGAAAATATGTGTGCTTCCGAAAAGTTACCTCAGTTTTGTGTTACAGCGGTGACACACTGATGTGAGGGAACAGGCAGCTTCCCTTCTGTGATTGGTACCAGAACAGGCGAGTTTCTGTAGTGTTTACCAAATTCCCTCTTTACTGGTCATAAATCTGAAGAGGACAGTGTAAAGGGAAGGTGCAGGCTCATCTTGCTTCTGCTCATTTTGACATATGTTCTTTAAAAACAACGGGCCGCGTGTTGGTGTTTTGTGGTGGCATGCAATGGATCCAAAATGAAGTTTTGTGCAATGTCTTGAAACTTCTTTGAATTTTAGAAAGACTGTGTGAAAAATAAAGTTCTCATTCTCAACTCAACTTTAATATAATTAGATAAAATCTGAATATTTAAAATGAAGACTCTTTTCAAGTACTGTAAAACATCTGGGGAGCACAATTTCCATTTCAGATGTCTTGCAGCTTAGCAAGCTGCCTTCCTGTCATAAGCAGTCTGGTTCTGGACTCCTTTCACTTTCTACGATCTCCATTAGTAAAAATAGTAAGTCTTAATATATTTGCAGGTGAATAGAAAGTGCTGAAAACCTACAGCCTCTCCAGAAAATCAGACTTGGTAGATATGTTAGCTGTTCTTTTGTTTTTGGTTTTCTTATCTACATCCTGAGAGCAACGCATGTGAAATTTCTACCTGAAGGTTGTGATTCAAATTTTAGTTCTGCAAACCTGAATGAACCTGCTGTTTGCCACGTGTGCTGAAACTGAAAGGAATCTGTGGGTTTTATGCTGTCGCTGTGAGAAAATAAATTTCACTTACGTATTAAAAATTTTATTTCAGGTGTTTGGCCATATGCAAAAGGAGGGCTTGGAAGTAACCATTCTTTCAACGTGTCCTGTAGCTGATTATAAAACTCAGGAATCCACTTTAACACTACCGTCTCCGTTTCTGAAAGCCTTGAAGACAAAGGAATTCAAAGAGCCGGTCTGCTGCCCGCTGCTGGAACAGCCGAACATTGTGCGAGATCTCCCTGCTGCTGGTATTTTGCAATTTCAATTGGTTACAAGGCTGCTGGTGGCAATACAGAGTGCACTTTGAAGAGCATCCCATTGCAATTGGTATTTTTACTTAATTGTGTCCGCTAGCTAACAAGTTAGCTTTTTGAAAATTAATTGCTGACAGTTTGGCATCTTACGTGTTGCCAGGTAAAATAGGGACGAATTTCAAAACTACCTGCAAATCCTCTTACCCCTTACATGTGAGATGCAAGTGCTAGCAAATTATTCCGTATAGGCTCACAAAGCGTATTGTGTAATGGTTTTTTGGGCCATTTTAGTTCTGAACTAAGTATGTTTTATTAAGAGTTACATCAGAGCACCTAAACTGAGGCTTGTAAAATCCCTTCTGCATATTACAGGTAAAGTAGGTTTCACAGTGCTGCCGATCAACCTCATGTAGAAGTTAGGTTCAGTTTTACTACTTAATGTAATAAAAACCCCAGGCTTTTCATTACAGAGTACCAAATTAGTGGTAGCATCATGAGGAAGAACTTGTCTGGCAGGAGCTAAAATGAGATGATTTTTCTAGAAAAAGCTTAATCTTGTTGGCACTTTGTTTTGAGTTCTTATGTTTGGTGGTTTTCTCTTTGCTTGGGGTTGTTGTTTTTTTTAAGAAATACCAACTATTTTACTAATTTTTGGTGATTTATTTTCTTATGTACCTGGGGAATGAGGGATGGGTGGTCCAGCAATCATGATCCTGAGTAGTTAATTTATAAATTTCAGTGTTTTTGAAGATCTGTACAGAACAAATGTGATCTTTTCTCTGCTGAATGTAACACAAATTTTCTTTTGACTTCTGTTTAGTTTTGAGTTACTGTCAAGTATGGCAGATTCCTGCGGTGCTGTATCAGTGTTACACTGATGGCATCAAACTGGACACGGTTACAATTGAAGCATTCAAGCCTCTGCTTTCTTCTAAAATCCTGAAGAGTTTAGTCAAGGTAAAATTTCATATATAAAAATGAATGGGAGTTTGGGTCTGATTTTGTCTTGTCTTTCATCTCTTGCGTTCTGTTGATGTGCTCCATGAGGATTCCACCTGAAAAGGCAGAAAAATACAGACTTCGAAAATTGTTTAGAAATCGTGAATCTACAGCTTCCCTCAAAACGTCATTTTGATGTTTCAGACTCTTACAGCAGTAGTAGTATATCAGGGAGTGATTTCTTGTGACTTTAGGCTGCGGTTTCCTTTGGAGGTATCTTGTGTTAAATCCTTCAAGTATTATATATTTTTCTTACATTCTCCATTCATATACAAGGTGCCTTTGTTCTAGCTCTGTATTTACCTGTCTTGTGCTATATGTGAAAGCTTCTTAAGAAATTTATTTTGACCTATAACTTCTTTCTGGAGTTTAAAGACTTAATTTCTCCAGATGATTCTTAGCAGTTTTGCACTAATCAAGCAGCTGTGAAATCAGGGCACTAGAGCTACTAAAGTGAATGTTTTGCTTCAAACTGAAGTATCGTTCATTCATACAACTTGGTTTTGCCAGCTGAACTTACATTTAAATGATAGAAGAAGTTTGTACTGAAGTATTTATTTCAGCTTTGAATGGGGGAATTGCTAGTTAATTTTTGTTTACAGCTTGTACTGGTCTTCTAAATACGTACTAGTCTGTTAGGCTTAAATGTTTAAACTCTGAAGGAGAACAGCAGCAAATATGCAGGCTCTTCCTCTCGTATACCAGTGAGGAGGAATGCACTTTTACAAATACCCTTCTATGGTTGAACTGCAAATTCCTGGGGAGCCTTTAGTAGCTCTCTGGATCCCTTCATTCAGAAGGCCTGAGTTTTGCTCGCTATTACCAGATTAATAGAACTGTTATTCAGAGTAATAAAAATAGGAGGACAGTGGGGCTTTCTTGTTTTGTTTAGTTACCAGCAGTGTAGCTAACGCTGATCATCTCTTCCTTTTCCTAGGATGTATCTGAAAGCACAAAGATTTTGAAGAAATTGCTGAAAACCAATGAAACTCACAATAACATCTATATCTGAAAAGGACGTTTATGATGCAGACTGCACTTTTGTAAACTCCAGTTTCTTCTGTAGAGGACATTTTGTTATTGTAGTTGTTTGCTTCAAAGTGGAATAAATTCCAGTTGATTCTTTCTTCTGCACTCATTTTGTTACTTTCACATTCATCACTGCAAACACAGATATTTCGTCTGCATGGCTTGGGAGACTTTCTTCTGGAGTGATTTTAGGAAAGGTACCTTCAATACGAAAAGCAACTTCTTTTTCTCCTCCTGAAGGGATTGTCTTGCCTAAATGTATACCTTTTTGTATGTAGAAGAGGAAATGCAGTTAAGGAATTATTTCTGTATCTAATGAGAACATCTATGTTTTACTTTCTTTTGAGACACAAAAGTTTCCTAATATTCAGTCCTCTTTAAAGATTTGTCTGTGATGGAGAAAATAGGCTCTGCATCTTTTTACATGCATAAACGTATATAAGTTTGTGTGTGTATGTATGAATGATGCATATGTGTGTGCGTGTGCACATACCTTTGTTTTGTACGTGTTGATACAAAATACAATAAGTAATATATGGTAAATACCTTTAAAAAATACTAATGGAAAAGAATCTTAAGCTTGCTTTGCAGATGAGTAGGAGGCAGCAATGTGGAGGTGTTTTGAGCTGCATGGCAGGGCTGTGACCTGGGTTCACCGAGTAAATCATCACACGTGTTTGGGATGCTGCTGCCTGCAGATCTGGCAGGAAGAGAGATGTGCCAAATTCAGGTGCTGCAGCTCCCATTTGCAGTGCCTTGCTGAGAGCTCACTTTTATTGGCCCTTTGAGCTTCAGCCCCTGAGCAGGAGCTGTAGAGGTGCAGGAGCAATCCCTGCTGTCAGATCTCTCTTGGTGGTGGGAGCTTCTCCCGGTGAAACGGGGTGGTAGGCTCACAAGATACTTCAGCTGGATTTTCCAGGGCAAACTGATTTAATCTATCCACTTTAAGACTCCAGAT